AGTAAAAGCATACTTCACTGGCAGGTTAGAATGATTTATGTTTGGTTTAATAACTAAATAATACTAAAATTTAATTGCAGACATGTGTGGTCATTAGCAACTGATTTAAATGAAATCTATTTACACTTTTGTGTTTGTTACAGCCGTTTGTCCTGGGTCAACAGTTCTTCAGGACAGGGATTCTCATTGGAATATCCGCATATTGCCCTTCATGCAGTTTCTCGTGATCTTCAAGCATATCCTTCTGAATGTCTGTATGTCTTGGTAGATTCAGAAATAGATCCAGGTAGGAATTAAAGTGATTAACTCTGTGATAATAGACATAGATGGAATTGAGGTTCAGCATTTGTATTCCTTCCTGATAATGTACAAATACTTGATTTAGGCCATTCAGATTTAAGCCATTTTGATGATTTATTATGTTCAAAGTATCAAGTATCAAGCTAATCTATGTATATGCATAACTAAATGAAAAGTGCTGTAGAGGGCAAGTTGGCAAAGGCAGTTATTGGTCACATGACCAGCTTAGAGCATGAAACTAACTGTTCACTTAAATCTAAAAGTTTGTGACGATGGTGAGTCATCTGAATAAAAATTTTCTTGGATATTTTCCATTGTCTAAGAAATAAAATAGAAAAATGACTTTCAATTTTTTACTTTGTCCGGAGATAGGGATTAGCTCTATCTATTGGGCCCAACTGAGTAGGCACCTGAAGATGAAGATGGAGCCCCATCTCCGAACGTCGTTTTTCTATTCTATTTCGTAGAAGATGGAAAATATGCAAGGAAATTTTTATTCAAATAGCTGTTCACTGTCTACGGCTAATAGCCAAAATACACAATCAGTTGATTCTTAGGTTATCTAATGATTGCTGTATCAAGTGTTGGTTTATTGACAGGCATACTTTAAAGAAAGATAATCTTGAAAGGTTTGGTTTTTCTTTACCAGATAATCAGCTGCATAGTAGTTCTGGAGATGAGGATTCAGAAGTGGGAGTGCAAGATATGACAGAAATGCGATTTGTTCCAGACGATAAGGGAATGCTGGATGCCATGTTTCATGCCATGAGTGAATGTCAGTCATTGCATCCAGATCCTCAAGACAGTTTTTCTGAGGGTTTGTATTTACTAGTTCATGATCCATAACTTCTTTTGATAATGAGGTTATCATGCTGTACTCCATCAACAGTGGACAGCAACGTTTACTTTGTTCTTGCTTGTTAAGAGAGGAAAAACACCAGTCATCTGTGGTAAGATGTTCCTCAGATTTTCCTGTATGTGTTTTGTCCCACTCTTCCAGAGGATTGCAGTGGACGGAAAATTTCAGTCTGAAATCCATCCCAACTTCTTTTACAGATTACATTGGTCAATAGCAGTTAGAAGAGGCATGGACTGATAATTACTTTAAAAAGTGCAGGCATTTGTTTAAAAGAAATATTAGCACATGCTACTTGCAGAAAGGCTGAAGCAGTATTGCTCTCAAAAATGAGGAAGGGCATGTACATGCCGCTTCAAACTTGTCTGCACAATCTAGTTTATAACTCCTGATCAGAAGGCAGACTCAGATTTAAATCTGGAGCATAGCTAGGACATCAAATGACGCATGAAATGAATTTTTTAAAATGAAGGTACAAATTTTTAGGAATTCAAGGTTAAATATCAACCTTGGTGACCCTGACACTGATCTAATGAACCTCAGTGTGTGGCATCTCATTTGAGCCACATTTTTGTGTCTTTGACATGGAATGACCCAGATGATGACATAAGATAATATTAATGCTTTTTTTTACAGATGAGGAAATCTTTGAGGATGCTGATGATGAAGAAGGAGAATACCATTTGGGCGAAGGAGATGCATCAGTTGTTAGTCACAGTAAGGAAATTATTTTGGGTGTTTTGATTATGTACTTGGTTAAAGTCTTCCACTGTTTTCAGGCCTGCCTGAACAAAATTATTTGTTTTAGCTCTCCCACTAGCTAGTGGACTTCCTCCTACTGGCCTTTTAGACGTCTTTGTTTTAAAAAAAATTGGTAAATAACTATCACTGAGAAAACAAGTGTATATTTGAACTAAGGAGGGCTGTGCACTATTCAAAGTGACCAGCTAGCAAACTACTTGTTCATTACTGCTTTATGTTCCTGTTTAAAAAAACAGCCAGGGTTTTAATCCTCTTGGATGTCTGGATGCTGGATAAGACTTGTACATGAATACCAAGCTTATTTTTACCGAAAGTCTGTGCCAGGTACCATAATATGCATGAATGTATTCTCTAAAGACAGGTGTGCACAGTACTCTGTCACTATTCTTGCCCAACTATGGTCACCATCTTGACTTGCTTCTCCACTGTTTTCTGACCACAAAACTTTCTGACTATGTGAAACAGTGGCACATATTTCAGTAACATTGTATATACTCACAATTTGTGAAGTAATGAATATGCATTGTTGTGAATGGTTTCTTGATTGCTTTTACTTAAATCATGTGTACCTTTCTGCTATAAAATGTTTCTGGTTTTCCAACAGACAACAGTTATGAAGTAACTGCAAATGGCAATGATGCCGAAGATGAACCAATGGAAATGGATACTGGCCAGTTTGAAGATGCAGATGATTAATACATACATACAGCACAGGACACTGTTACACTACTAAAGCAAAGTGTTTGAAAGTAACATAAAAGACTGTAAACATATAATTTAGGAACAAAATTATTTTCATGCTGCAGCAGCTGAAATTCTGACAGTATGCTACTGTATCTTTAAACTTAAGAAATAAACATTTATACAAATTGAATGTTTACTGGAAGTGGCTTGCATAAAGTGCTGAGTACTGGTGTTGGCATTAAACTAAGAGGGACAACTTCAGTTGTCCAGGCACTTAGACTGCTGCTGGCTCCTTCATGCACCCAGGAAAGACCTCTGAAACTTCGGTAAACTTCTACCAGACTACACGGCAGAACAACCCAGAAGCCAGCCATCTTCAGACTCACTGCTGTGAAGACCTCAAATCCTACTTACTAATGATACCTATTACTCTTTAAAATGATGCAAATATTGATATAGAAAAATTAGATAATCTGATTTTGTGACTGTTGGAAATTACTTATCTCGTGGCAAAATACACTTGTAGACGATATAGCAGCTAAAATCACAATCAAAATTTGCATATTTAATCACTTCAAGTCTTGTTTGCCCTAAAGCATCCAATACAGTTTTTAATTGTCATCATGATGATTAACTATTTAGGGTTTAGGCCGTATGGCCTGGTCCTTCCATCAAGGCTTCGTTCGTCCCAGGTCTCTGCAGTTTTTAATTGAAAGGTACAAATTATCATTATCATTACACTTCTAAAAATAGTGGGTGATGAAATGAAAAATTTTGGTTTAATTTTCATATTCTGCAGGTAAAATCCTATGAGAAATGTGCAGTCTTACTAGGCAGACAAAAAAATTTAAGGTTTGTTTAACAGTGTGATAACATCACACAATTTTCCAAAAACAGCTCCACTGTGTTTTCAGTATTAATGATACAAATGCCTTGAATCATTATCTGGCCACCATTCTTACTTGTGTGGGAAAAGAGGAAGATTGGCAAATAAAGATCATAAATACCTGAATATAAAAAATACCTATTTTCTGTAACTTCCATACATGTTATAACTTCTGAAATCTATCTGCAATATCACTCTCTTCATCATGTGTCTGCTGTGGGAATTCAAAGCATGTTTTCTCATAACTTTTTATGGTTTTTGTGAATTCCACGATTTTACTAATTTTGGAATGTAGATCATGTGATAATAATTCATCTTTTTCATCTTCACGATAAAGTTCCTCCAATTCCTTTAGCTCTGATTCCATTCTGTTCACCTGCTGCTGAACTTCAATTTCCTTCTTCAAACATGCTACCATGAAACATGCCTGGAAAAGAAAGTTTAATATAACTTCCTGGTAATTTAGAAACCATGTGTCATGGAAAGCAACTTGGTATAGCACAGCCAGTGTCCACCTAACAGAAAATCTTAACCCTTAGCTCCTTTGCTTGGTATTCTTAAAAGGAATACTACAGCTAGTTACATTTTGAACCACAGAAATTCTTTGACTGAAAGCTCATCTTTGTCTGATAATTACAGTGCATGGAATCCTAAGCAATGCCCATGTTTCTGCAGATAAATGTATCTAACAGATTTAATTATAAATGTACCCTAAAATTCTCTTATTATTATATAAAAAAACCCTGACTGCTTAGGAAAATTTTTTAATCAGGAGTCTGGCCCCGCCTTGCAAAAGCTGCTAGAACTTTCTATTACATTAACAGTGATTTGTGTTGTGCATTTTGGTGATGTTCATCCTCAAGAACACACTTGCGTGCAAAATTGTTTTCCAAGGTAGGTAATGGCTTGTTGGCAGAAGATTATGAGATTTTGATTGGCAGTAAGTAATTCTGATAATATATTGAAGCAATGGTTCTATGTAGGCATAGGATCAGTTCAGCTCAGCTCTTTGTTTTGTTTCTTTAATATTTAAATTTTAAATTGTGTGGGTTATTAGTCTAGTCTCCAGCACTCTAGTGTGGTGGTGATTGGACTACCACCTTAGCCTTCAGGCCAGCCAGAAGCTGCTTTAGTCTTTCTCATACAGTTATATCCATTTCACTGGATATGAATATTAACTCTGAATTTATTTATGAACTATAATTACTGTAATTTAAATATCTTTGTATGAAATCTCAAATTATGCAAGTAATGTTTTCATTATTCTTCACATCATCTTTCTTGAAATACCCTAGCAATCATGTACATACAGGTCTCGGTGAGTATTGGGAGGATCTTCATAATGGTCAAGACATAAATTAAAGAAAATATATAGGTTTTTTTGAGTTTGACTGTGTTACTACATACCCTCTTTGCTCTAGTATCAAGCTGTTTGATTTCTTTGTCAATCTGCTGCTCATCTTCTTTGGTATACTGTGTAATCTGTGGTAAATCTTCTGGTAGCAGAACAAACGATGGTATAGCAAAGAACTCGTCTACTGCCAGCTGTAATGTATGATAGAACATCCTTAGTTCAGGAAAGGCTGCTGAACTAGCATGTAAAATGTTAATGTTTGTATATCAGATCTCTAATTAACTTCATGGAGCAAACATCCTTCTTGAGAAGTGTGTTTGTTACTAACTTCTTCAAGAAATTCCTCAACTTTCATGGAACCCAAAGGTTTACCTTAACAAAATTTTCACATTTTCCATGTTTGTTTGTGGTTTATTTAACAACACTGTCAGTAGCTCAAACTGTTATATTTGATTTTATAACAGATTTAATTCATAACATTAAACAATATTGGTGATACATTCCTAATCTGGTCTCAAACCACAATGACCATCCCTTATTTGAATTAACACAATTTATAGGCTTTTTATATATATTTCTCTCTTTTCTGTTTTGTGTTATCTAATAATGTTAAGTATTCCTCATATTTATGGAACTAAAACCCAAGGGAAAAAAAGGTTTATAATATCAGCTGGTTTAAAGTAAAACATGGATGGCTAATCATTTCATACTGGTAAATGTTTCAATTGTTGAACTGCTGCATTGATGCTTTCCTTTAAGAACTGTGTTGTTGCCGACCGTACAGCCACTTCTTTTCCTGGTAACTTTTCTAAGAGACATTCTTGCAATAATTCTGTTGCTTCTTGAATTTTCTCAACAGCAATACTGCTTACTGAAAAATCAGAACACAGGCCTATATCAAGATATTAAAGGATAGTAATGAAACTCTGTAAAATAATACATCTAATATCATGAAGAATCATAGCACAGACAGTGGAAATTAAAATAAAGGAATAATATTTGAATAGAATGACCATGCCAAAGAAACTTGTTTGGTTAATTAAGAAGAAGGAAGAAAGCAGATTACAAGTGTTTGAAAAAAGGGTGCTCAGGAAGATATCTGGACCTAGGAAGGATGAAATAAGTGGATAATTTACAATACTGCATAACAAGGAGCTGCGTGAATTCTACAGGTCACCTAGTATAGTGAGAATAGTGAAATCAAGGAGGTTTTGATGGGCATGGAGGGGCAAGAGGTTCATACAGAGTTTTGATAGGAAAATGACCAAGAAGGAGATGGGAGAATAATATCAAACTGGATCATAGGGAGGTAGGCTGTGAGGATGAATGGATGTAAATTGTTCAGGATCATGGCCGGTGGCAGGTTTTGGTGTTGGACCTGCAGGTTCTGCTACCATGGAGTTAGTTAGAATGGCCATGTACTTGGGTATCTTTAATTCAAGCTTACTAGAATGAGCACAAACATTACATAAAATACATTAAAATAAATAAAGGTAAGTTACATTAAACTAAATAAACCTAACCTGTCACATTAGGATTTCAATACAAAAATATGGGAGGAGGGGGCAAAGTGGAGCAAAAATGTTTGTTTTAACTTTGTTAGGGTAACCTGCCTGAGCTGTGAGTGCACATTTCCTTAACTGGGTTAGTATTTATAATTGGTACTGTACACAAGATTGAGCCGGGATAGCTCAGTCACTATAGTGACTAGCTACGGGCTGGACGACCGGGATTTGATCCCCGACGGGGGCAGAGGATTTTTCCTCTAGCCTCTGCGTCCAGACCGGCTCTGGGGCCCACCCAGCCTCCTCTACAATGGGTACCGGGGTCCTTTCCTGGGGGTAAAGCCGGCCAGGGAGTGATGCTGACCACTCACCCCCATCTAGTGCCGAGGTCAAGAAAGAGAGGAGCTATATCTCCACTCACCCCAAACGCCTACATGGCATATAGTGAAACAAACTTTACTTTTACTTTTTACTGTACACAAGAGTTAACATCAAATTAGAACAAGCTGAATGTTTTTGGGTCTGCTAGTAGTGCAGCAAGTGACTTCTCAAGCCACATACACCACAGGGTTTCGCTTAACTCTCGCATACAGTACTTGCGCTCTTGAGAGAAGACAAGGAGAAGCAGTATGTACAGTCTTGTCAAGAAAGTCTCACCACTATTATGTGTCCTATGAAATCACTTTCCTACCTACATGTTTTGTAAATTCTGTCTGTTTACATCACATGGCATGTGAAGTTTCCCCATGCCTCACTTCATCAGACAAGTCAAATAACTACAGAAGTCTCTTGGTCACTTTGTCAAAACATCATAAATACAACATGTAAGAAAACAGGGGATCAAATTTCCAGTTAATGCTCCTGAATACAGGATAAATGACATTAGGAATTCTTAATGGAAACAACTGCCTGAAACCAGTAAACGTTTACAGTGTAAACGGTATTAAGTCCAGATGACGTAGTCAATGTGGGCTTTGACAGAAAAGTCATGCCAGTTCTGTAACACAAAATTTGTCACCTCTCTAACTTCATGTTCCACTTCAAGGAGATTGCAAATCTAGTCAAAATGTTATTTACTTTCTTCAACTACTTTCCCTTTGTAAATTAACATTACGGTTACTCCAGGAATAAATGCCGATCCTCACAGCTTTACTCCTCATACAGTATCTTACGAAAGATACTTTTAACAGAAGTGTCAAATTACGATTTGTTAGTAACTTAACATTATGCAGCCAAAGCGGATTCGAAAAACCGCCTAAAAGTATTAACAAAAGTAAAGTGGTTATACAGCCCCCATTTTCTGGAGGTAGAGATACCGTAATTGCAGACTGTCCGTGAGCTGAATCCAAAAAACTGCAGTTCGTAAGTCTCCTTTGTACAATCTTCTGTTGCTACCAAGTCCATTTTCCCAAACTAGCGATCACAGATAGAAAATTCCTAGCAATGACAATCATAGATAATACTGAGATCTACAGATTTGGTAACTTTATGTTCTGCCACCTAGAGCAGAGTAGAGTAGAGTAGAGTTTATTTACATTCCATAGATCCTTCTTAGGACTCAACCAAAGGATATAGAACATGTCATTTCATACAATATACATACACTTCAGAACTTTCAACACAAGTACAAGAACGTGTTTCACATATCAATGTACATAAATTTCAGATTCTGCAATACAAGTATGAAAAATAATTTTACGAATTAATATACATAAACCTGAGAATTTTAAATATGAATACAAAACTTGCTTTACATATATGTAGATTATGGATATAAAGCTTAAACATTTTCAGCAGAGATGAAATCATCTACAGGATAGGAGTGAGTAAAGAGGTAATCTTTCAATGCAGGCTTGAATACCTTTATATCATAATTTAGACTTTTAATTGTTGGTGGAAGATTATTAAATAACTTGATACCTGTATAGTACACTCCTTTCTGATATTATTAGTATTATTTATTAATTATCATTTACAAATACAGATACAGTATGGAACCTACTAAATTGGTTTTTAAACTTAATCAATATTTACAGGTGTACTCATCCGTAAGTTTTGGACAATTTACTTTTTACATATCCTTAATCTTTCTACCTTTTGGATCCATGAAATGTATCATTCATATGAATTTCGGGACTAGTTTTTGAAAACCGTGGTCACCACAGTTTATAAATTGGCAGTCAACACCAAGTTTGATTATCGTCAATTTATGAATTAATTCGAGAAATCATTCGACTTTCGAATCCGGATTTGCACGCTCCAATTCAAACCGTATGAGTTCAAAGTCTGTGTTCAAGGAGAATCGTGTTATTTAGATCTTTATTGTCGGTCGTGTTTGTTAATCTTTTATTTATACATTTCGTACGATTCAGTTGTTTACTTTGTACTTATGTCTTATTGGAGTGACTTGGTGAGTTTACTAAAGCTTGTTTGTGTTGGTACGGAATAACATAAGCTTCGGGATTTACTTGGGATTTGGAGTACAGTACGTATTAATTCTTCTTATGATTTCTTGTCTTGTAAGTTTGTTGAAGTTGTGTGTTTTTTCTTTGAGGAATGTGTTTAATTTCAGATAATGAACTGTATCAGTATTCTCTGCCTTTTTTCTGTCTTTCCGTTGATACTGAGTCAGTTATCTAATGATCCAGATCAGCTCTTGAATTGGTGTTTGGATGGAATGCATCATAAGAGCAGACCAGGACCTGAGGATGAACTCTTTGAACAGGTTGGTGTCAGATTACTAGGGTCAGTGAACATAAAATGCTGGTCATATTGTGGCTTAGCATCATTAGCATTACCAGATGTCAGTTGTTTGAAAATCACTGAACATTTTCATCTGAGATTGGTTAATACAAACTTTGGTTTGTTTGAATTGCAATAAAACTTCTTTTTGCAATAAATGTAGCCCATTTTTGTGGTCATCTTCTAGTGCACACCATGGAAGAATCGCTCTTGCTGCACACACAATACAACTAGAAATGCTCATCTCTCTAACTTGTATAACTTCAGCTATGACCATTGCAGCCACAAAAAGAACATGTCTGAAAATTGTAGAAGACATTTCAGACAGGATTTGTGTTTTTATGAATGTTCGCCGAACATTGGACCGTGGACTGTACAAGTAGGTAATATTTGCTGCATTTTCTGGACTCTAAGATGTGCTGCAGAAAAGACAAACCTAGAATTGCTATATACATTTTTGTAAAATATATGCTATATATTACCTTTTGACTACTAGACACAAATTTTAGGCAGTATTTTTAAGGAAATAAATACATCTTATACTCCAAGAAATACAGTGTATGCTGTGTATTATGTACATCAGTAGCCCTTATTAAATTTATTTATACCTGTATACAAACCTTTAATAATTTTGCTCTTGCTGTCTGTTTAAGGGCATTCATTTCATCTTTCAGGTATTCCTTCCTTTTGTATCTAGTTTTCTGCTTGGGAATGACATTAACAAGTATAGATTATAATCATGGTAAAATTAAGAGTAGGTTTAATTAGAAAAATGCTTGCTATCATTCAGAATTATTTTGTTTCATTGTGTTTTGTCTAAAAACCTTAAGACTTGAAGTGTACAAAACTCTAATTTCACCTGTTGTTTTATATGGGCATGAAATATGTTAAGATTTGAGGTTCTCACTGTGGCAGGTATGAAGATGACTGTCTTCTGGGTTGTTGTATTTTGTATTTTGGTAGAAGTTTATCAGTGAGTCAGAGGTCATTGCTGCCTCCATCATCAGATTGCCCTGATGATGGAGGCAGCAATCACCTCTGAAATGCCAGTAAATGTCTACCAGACTATACAGTTCAACAACCCAGAAGACAGTCATCTTTGTGAAATATGTTCTCTCATCATAAGAGAAGAACACATATTGAAGGTGTTTAAGAACAAAGTGCTGAGGATAGTATTTGAATCTAAGATGGGAGAAACAACAGGAAGCTGGAGAAAATTACAAGATTTTCACTCTTCACCAAATGTTGGGACAGTAAATCAAGGAGGGTGAGGAAGTTAGGACTGTAACATGCATGGGTAAATGAGAAATGCTCTTCTTGGGAAATTTCCAAAATCAATTGTCAAATATTTTATTTAAGTGCTTCTGCAGTGTGCGGATTGTTTACATAAACTTTGTTCTTCAGCATGCCCCACAGGTAAAAATCGCATGGGTTTAAGTCTGGGGAACGCGGAGGCCACTGATCGATAACTTGTTCATCAAGCACTTCTCTTAATGCTAACTTCGACCGATCAGCTGTGTGAGCTGTAGCATTGTCTTGCATGAATAAACCGTAAGTCTTTTCTTCATCGGTCATTTCTTGGAAAAAGGGTCTAACTATTAAATTTACATAATGTTCACAATTTATCCGCTTACTGCAGAAGCACTTAAAGAAAATATTCGCACTTCTCTTAATGCTAACTTCGACCGATCAGCTGTGTGAGCTGTAGCATTGTCTTGCATGAATAAACCGTAAGTCTTTTCTTCATCGGTCATTTCTTGGAAAAAGGGTCTAACTATTAAATTTACATAATGTTCACAATTTATCCGCTTACTGCAGAAGCACTTAAAGAAAATATTCAGCAATTTCCCAAGAAGAGCTTCGTCGAGTATTTCGAAACATGTTAACGAGATGTGAAGTTGCCTGCAAGCACAAGTAAGTCACTTTGAACATCCTTTGTGATTTAAGGTAAGAACAATTAATGTAATAACATGTATTAGTGAAGAGAAATATTCGTAGTTCGCTGTTACTATGGGCACTGAAACTGATTCGCCGGTCACCCACCGGAAGAACGTGCACAACTCCTGCCCACATCAACAGAGCGCCGGCCGACCACGCAATGCAAGCACGACCGTAGCCTCATAAAGTGTAGACCCGGTATATGGACTGGATCCATCTGGCTCATGATAGGTTTTTGTGAACATGGTATTGAAGCTTCAGGATCCATGAAAAGTTTGGAATTTCTGAGCAACCATCAAATTCTCAAGATGGACTTTGCTGCAAGGAATTTGTTATTTTTAATACTGATTTTCATAAAAGTATATGAGAATGAGGTGGGGTGGGAACCCAGGTAATCAGTTGTTATGTTAAAGCGAATTTGTAGTACAGTCATATTATTATTATGGATTTCATTATTGTGAATGCAGGTTTCTATGAAAATCCGCAATGAACGTTTCTACCAAGTGCCACTGTGCGAAAGTGAATGCATTGCTTGGTTTTCTGCATGTGTTGATGACTACACATGCACAGACAATTGGGTCAGGAATTTGGTATGGAACAAGCAGGGCAACCATTGCAAAAAAGGATTGGAGTGCAAAACCTTCAAAGAGATCTTTGGTACAGCTGAGAACTTCTGTGAAAAGGTACTGTGCCTGTTTTGTTTGAAGGTAAGTATTTTTTGTGTGGTTGAAAGAAACATGTACAATTTGGAATATAGAATACCTTACCATAAGTCTTGAACTGCATTGAAATCAGCAGCTAAACACTTTATGTGATATGCAGGACCCAACAAAACCACATCTGACCAACCACAGCAAGTGAAAAATCAAGGCTGATGAATGAAAAATCTTCATGTTTTTGTTAATATTCTCTCCTGATTTGAATGGTAAATTTCTAACTGGCATGGATGTGGAGGCCTTTGTTAATCAAATACTGCTATGTTTGAACATCAGGATATGGGAATAAAATTAGAGTGAAAATCAGTTCTGTTGTTGTTTTTATTCATCACTCTGTGAACAATCTGTAGCTTTGTTTCATTTTGACTGTTTCAACATCTGTAAGATGCTAGAGCTGTTGATAGTATTGACTAGCCTCTGCAGTGCAGGTTACAGTCAGGTGTTTGCTGACAGTTTCTCTAGTGAATGAAATGCCTTGTGAATACAATTTTTGTGTAAATGGTGAACTGGTTCAATATTTGTTAACCCCTCATGGATTTTATTTACACTGATTGATCCTTGGTTTACTTAATGTGATAACAAAGATGGTCATGAATGGTGATTATATGGGTTTGAAAGGAGATCTTAGCATATTTTATAGTATCATCCCAGCATTTGCCTGGAATAACTGTGGAAGACCATAAATACCTTGTACAGGATAGTTAATAATCTAACCAGGATTCATGCTGGATTCCACCTGAATACAGGTCTTATGAGTGTTACTGTTACATCAACATGTACAGTTTTAATTTTTATAGATAAAAGGTTAGTTGGGAATGAAATAATATTTCATTGCAAGATTTTAAATTTATTTGTAGGGGTGGGGGGATATAAATCTTTAAGGGACTGGATGTTTTTGTACAGAAAATACAGTTAATCAGTGATAAGCTGGCAGTAACAAAACAATATCGATGATGTTGTATTAATGTTGAAAATGTAGATCTGAATGCAAATTATGTAAAGTGTAGTTTTCATATGGAATTAAGCCAGGTGCTAACCCCACAGTCTGCTGTTTTATGTCACCCACATACATTTCTTATAATATGTCTGGCTGTGTGATGAAAAATAGCTACCTGATATCTGGAAACTTGCTATGTCAAAGTCATCAGCATTTGGCAATAGCGATCACTATGAGAAATACTGATAATCTTTAGGGGAGATGCGTGTTAATAGAAATAACACAAAATAACTGACTCTGGTAATGAAACTATTGAGCAATATCTGAATCTGTTCACAACAATTTTAGTTTCTAGCATTTTTAATAAATTTTCCTGACCTGGGAGCCCACAAGTTTATGAGAATGATGAATGTGTCCCCAAGTCTTAAAAGGTTGACAATTCCTAAACTAGTATATACACTCATTCATTCGATGAATATTTACATACTGCTGAAACTGGCAAATCAAAAATTATCTTGTATACTACGGTTTGGTTTTCTTTCACAGGTGTGGGATGATTCCTGGAAGTACACCCCAGATAATCAGCCATGTATGAAGATATGGTTTGATGGAGAGAAAGGCAATCCCAATGATAATGTTACTATACTAAAGGTTAAAGAGTTGATGGAGTGGGGAAAATCAGGAGTTAAAGGAAGGGACAATCTTCCTTTAAATTTTATTTTGACAGCAGTTGTTATGGCTCTATTTGTACAGCAGAAAAAATACTGCAGTCTTAGTTCAGTTTAGATCTGAGTTTGAGTTACTACTTATACAGTAAAACCTCTATGTAATGAAGAAAGATCTAGGTTGCTTTGAGACACATTTATAGAGGCTGTTTGCCCCCATGTAACAAATACTGTCTATTGATACTCCTAATGAATGCATGTGACCATATTTAATCATTTTTCTTATAATAGCAGTTGGTTCAGCACCTACAGTTGTTAAATCATGCATCTGCAAATCCAGGTACCATGTGACTGGGGTATGTTAGATTTTTGCTAATGTTACTGTACTCCCATCTTCAGGTGACTGATTGTCATACTGACTTTTTTATGTTGTTAGTGGCATTGGTTGACATCGATAATTAGTTTTAATGAGGCTGTGCCATAGTACAGGTTGTTAGTTGCTGGCTTCTTACTACGGAGGCCTGGGTTTTCTTCCAGGGCTGTCCATGTGGGATTTGTGATGGACAAAACGGCACTGGTACAGGTTTTTCTCTGAGTCCTTTGGTTTTTCTCTGTCACTGTCATTCCACCTGTTCCATATTAACTCATTTTGTCATCTGGGGGATATACAGTGAGGCCATTTGTAGTTTCAGTTCCACAGAGACATTGTCTTACCACGTCATAACAATACAAATTATTTTTAACAAGTGCATAATATCTTCATACTCACTGCCATGAGAATCTCATATCCTGTTAACTAGTTAGTACTTTTCTATGAAGATAATACATTGATAATAATGTCTCATAAATTTGTTTCATTTTGAAGTAATCACTAGAGTATATAGTTGGAGGTTTTACTGTGTTTTTAAGGTGTAGAGGTACAATTTTATTGGGGCTTTTATTAATTTTATATCCTTTTATGTAGTTTTAGTGCCTTAGGCAATCAGAGGTATACCTGGAAAAGTCCTAGACATACATGCGATAGTAATATTAAAATGAATCTTAAGAGAAATAAGAAGTGAAAATGTGATCTGAATTGCACTAGCTCAAGGATATGATGCAATAATAGGTTGTGGTGAATATGCTGATAAATCTTTGAATTTTATTTCTAGATTGGTTGAACAGCATCTGCTCAAGCAAGACTACACATAGTATTAGTTACATTTTTATGACTGCCTGGTTTGGGTGAAAATAAATTCAATTTATTGCTTAACCATGGTTTGTGGGAAGTTTAATAGTGCATGGAGTATATCCATTTATAGTGTTCTTTTTATTATAGGTTTTTAGTGTACTACACAGTCACAAATGTCTCCCTGCCATTGATTTGAATTGGGCACCAATTTCAGAAAGGACTTTGTTTGATAATGGAAGGAAAAGAATGTAATTGTCTGACTCAGTTGGGTAGGAACACGTATCTCAGGCATATTTGACAAATGTGCAGTGGAGAATGGAAGGTAGGAGTAACTAATTGTTATGTTGACTATAGCTGAAGTTCTGATTACATTCATTATTAAGTGTAAACATTCCAACAAAACTGACATTCATTTCACAGTAAATGGTTTAGTGAATTTCAGAATTAATTTGCACAGAGGTACATAACTCAGAAGCTGAATGTCAAATGGTGATGGTATGTTAGCCACTGTGGATTATTTTTCAGTGTTTTCATATTTTTTTCATTTAACATTTTATTAATGATTTCAGCTGATGAACCATTTATTCATCTTCCCTCAACCAGGACTCTCATTTTTGGGGGGCTAAGTGAATTCAATAGTTTCTCCTTCAGGGTTTGAATTATCAATTAGATGCAAACAGGTTATGAATTTCGGTAAAGAATGGGTGCTCAGCCTTAATGAACATAATGTCAAAGATACCAAGATACCTTTTTGGATTGCCTGACGAACACAAAGGCAGGTTCCCCATAAATTCGCATATGACTGAATTTTTGGGACAAACAGGAAATTGAGGAATTTGAATTGTGCCTTAAAATGAGGCCATGGGCTTAGAAGGGTTTGAGAGAAGGAAATGCACTTCATGTTTATGATGGGAAGTGGGATTTCTGCAAACTGACAGATAAGTGCCTTTATTATGTCCTCATTTTTATATAGGCTAGCATAAACAGATATGTAAATGTACAAAATGGAAATGTTGATGTTTTGTTTATTCATAAGTTTTTAATTTTTGCAGCTAAGAAAGTGATATACACTGTACAAAGAGATCTTCATTAAAATAGAATTGAAATTTAAACTACTGTTAAGTTGGCTTATAGAGGGCACCTGGCCCTAAATGGCAATAAATTAGAGCAGCACATATCTTTCATTGCTGAGTAGCAAATAAATTATTTATTTTAAAATGTAGACATCAAGTTTATCTTTCCAGTAAACCTCAATATGCACTTCATTACTGACTCACCACACTTACACGCATTATTCATTGTCATTTTCAGTAAATTTCTGAGGATTTTCATTGCAACATACACAGTAATTATGTTTGTCCCACATACAGAAAACATTACTCCATCAGAAGAGCAAATTGTCCACGAATGTTCTTAATTAATCTTTACAAGTTATAATCTGAAAGTTGTAGACATTCAATTTTTAGCTTCTTGTGCATACTGTAATGAACAGTTTATCAGGTCAGGCCAGATGCTCAGTATATTCTGTACACTTGCAAGGATTCATCTAAAATACTTTACATATGAATTCCCACATTGTCTTAGGACAACAAAGCAGAGACCATGTTATCACAACACATTACCTGTCCCACATCACAGATCTGTAAATTTATGCTCTTTGATTCAGGTAAACCCAACTAAATAAACATCAGACATGGGAGTATGATTTAAATGCTTCCAAGCACAGAATAAGGTCCACTTTCTGATGCACAGAGAAAGACAATCCTACCAATTAAAGTGAAATTAAAATGATCAGCTTAGCTGTGATAGAGGCCATAAAACGAGACCATGGTCAAGCGAGGAAAAAGAAAATGGGATATTTATCATGACAGAAGGGCAATTATAAAGATCACTGCCTGTTTTCATTTCACAGATTTATTTTATTGCCATTTAGGGCCAGACATCATGAGGAAGGGTGTGTGTTGAAAAATACCCTTAAGTTCATTATGGGACTAATGTATATATCTTCAATAAACTGTTTTAACTAATCTTGAGATGACTTATGTTCTCTTTGGGTATTGGGTAACTAACTAGCAAATAATAGTGTTTAACAACACCATAACATGCAACTACATGAAATGAAAACTGTCCACTTTTTCATTCAGATTTTTATTTATTTCTGACTTGCAGCACCTGAAAGATCTCTTCTTAGTGAGAGATAAATTCTACACCAAACAAAACATAAAATCAAAGGAAAAAGCATACATGCCAGTGATGTTTAGATAAATTATGGAAATCCATCATCATCATCCTCAGCCATTTCCTTGGCCAACTCCATGTCTTGCTGCTCTCTTTCTCGCCGTTCTTCTGCAGATTCTAAATCTTTACCATATGATTTTGGTGGGTAACGCATGGCTTTCACACTCTGGTTATGAAGATCCAGGCAGAAAGAGATCCGCTGATGGAAAGCCAATTGTGGTTCTCTTGTACAGTATATGTCTGTGGTCTCCTTGCTGCGCATGTACCCATGCTCTGGATCCAGTGTAGCCTCAATAACCCCATCTCGTATGGCCTTGGCAACGATGAATTCTGCATCTTCTGGTGAATCCAGTCCCAACTTATGTGCAATGTCATCGGGAGAAATACGGGAATAAGACAGCCCCACAGAGCGAATAGCAGTCTTGATTACATTATGACGAAGACGCAATATGAGGGTAAATGTATGGTCTGCACGAAACTGAGGCCCAAAATTTTCCAACACTTCACCAAATCTGTGAAGGTTTCCCATTCGTACTGCCTGGGTAAGCTGGAAGTATGGCGCAAGAGATCGTCTCAGAGCAGCTTGCCTGAATATCTGACGTTCTGGTATGTCACCTAGCAGCAGTTCCACTGTCACTGCCAGCTTCTGCACGGTCTGACGGAAACCGACAGCCGCAGTTTGTGGAGCTTTACGCATGGCTTGGACAAGATGCTTATGTGCGGCAGAGTACTCGAGACGAGCTGCCTTGATACGGCCCAGATAGTAGAAAAAGCGAGCCCACTCATTATTACTCGCTGTTTCTGGGAAAACTGACTTGGATACCAATTTATCAGCCTGATCATACAGACTATAGTGTAAGTAGTTACGTAAGAGACAGTTGATAAGCACTCCTTGTCCCTCATAGTCATTCCTAAGTGTGGCTGTTCGTAATCTTGAATGTAAAAAGCCGCGTATTTTTTCTAGTTGGTCTGTTAGCTCATAGCTGCGAGAGTGGTAGAAGTAACATTTCGCTGCCATCAGGTCAAGGATGCGGCGATTTTGAGCTGTTACTTTTTGCATTAACAGATCTGAACACTGGACAGCATCACCATATTTCTGGCCATCAATCAACTTAAGTAGCACCAGGAGATGAATGTAAGTGTCTACCTCAGGAAGGAGAGGAGTAACTGAGCTCTTGCTGCTCCTCATTCGTTGGCTGCTACTGCTCTCAGTTTCCATAGGTTCTTCTACAAATGCCAACAGTGCATCCCTTTCAGTTGCTGAATGAGTATAAAATCCAATGATAATTCCTCTTAGAACAGGAGGATTTAACTTCCTTCGTGTGTTTGGCAATGTTCTCAGGACCCTTAAAATGAATCTTGGCTCTTTACTTTGAACTGCCTTTTCAATCTGGCGGGCATGCTCTCTGATGTCCTGAATTGTAAGTGCATCTGTGTCCTTTTTAGTGTCACCAGTATCTCCATCACCTGAAGGGCTGTCAGCATTTTTCATTTCTACATCAACAGTTTGTTCTGCTAATGCCACCATTGCTGATAAATCTCCTATAAAAAATTATTCCTTTGTAAACTTAAAAGGTTAGAAAAACTACAGCATATTGATAGCATTTGTAATTAGTAATGGATATGGCATCATGCCTCTGTGTTTTCCCACTAGCAAATCTTGAACAAATGGCTGATCTCAAGAATATGATAATGTAACTGTTCGGCCATTTACCTTTGTTTTTTTCATCTACACCATCATCCCCAGAGTGCAAATTTCTGATCTGAGAGTAGCATATCTTAAAATTGGCGAAAAGGATTTGAAACAGGTGTACATAGCATTATTGAGGCCTAGTGCCCATAATCCTGTACATGCTGACACTTGTCAATTCTGATCTGGGTAATAATGTCAACTATTTTCACAACCTCTTACTTGAAAATGGAAGTAATACATTCCTCTGAAATACTTGTAACCACCTATAAGACTATACAGTATCATAATCCAGAAGGTCAAAGCACAGAATTCTGCTTGGTTTCACTTGGTATTTACCCTCCTATTATTGATTCTCAATGCAAGCCTATACTATTCACTGATAATACTAGTATTATTATGTATCATCCTGATTGTGACTACTTTCAAAATTCCATTAATGATGTCTCTGCTAGTCTGAACAAATGCTTAAAACAAAAAAATTGCATAAACTTCTTCTACTAACAAAGTATGTATTAATTTAAATACTGACAAATATATTACAAACAAAAATATGACACCTCCATATGCCAAATTCTGACCTCATTAGCTACCAGAAAGGAAAGGAGAGCATTAAAAGTTTAAATCATTAAAGACAAAATTGAGCCAGCATTGAAAAATTATCTTTCATTCAATTTTTCCTACAATGCAGCACTTCTCTGTTTCAGATTTCTTCATTGCCAATGTCCAGTGCTATTTTTTTGTTTGAAAAACATTGTATAAATTGCTCATCCTTTATAGACAAAAAAATTGCTCAATGTACTCCATTAAAGAACTCTACTACGCAAAAAAATGTGTTAAACTGGAATGGGTTGTTGCAAATGTACTGACTTCTGATATCACGCATATCATCACCCTATGGGTCCATAACCATGCCACAAATATAGGAGAACAGTGAAATTTTGCCGCAGTCTAATTAATATGAGGTTAAATGTGGATGGACCTCATGAAAAGATAAAAATTACTACAATGGTTTTACTACAATCTTTTCCAGAGAACCTGCATTACACACAAACAAACTCTTTTTGCTGCAGCCTTACATGTTGCAGTCTATCTGTGTTAGCAAAATTGTGTAGAAATCATATGAAATTATATACAACCGCAAATTTGGGCCTTTTAACCTAAAATCTTCTGACAAATATAACACTCAAACAACTACTGTACGATTGATACTACATACTGTAAGTAATTCGTACCAGAATTATACAAAAGTATTATGATTTCATGATACTCACAATCAGTTACAATTATAAATATTTATTTTTAAAATGGAAACTTGATGAAATACGCAATGTAATAATTCCAAAGATTGTTCACAGTTCTAATTCAGACCACAGTTTACTGAATTATAGCACCACGGAAGAAGTACGTTAATATATCCATGGACTACCTGTATCAATGCTGCGAAAGGCACAGATAATGCAGCCATCTATATAAAGTGGATAACAAGCTTATCAGTTGTAAGTATGTATAAGTGTTTATGATAAGTGCTGAAATTTTTTTGAAGGTGGGCCTTAGGTGCCGGTCGAGGTAATACTGTTTGTTTATTGGATCCTGGAATACGTAAGGTATGTAGATAATCTCTAATTTGTACGTTGTGGAAGTTAGTTTTTGGGAAACTATACGCTTTGGGGAAACCACTGAACATCAAATCCCACATGAACATCGGGTTCTCATAAGATGAGTTACCACCAGCTGCTGGTTAGTGTTTACTTAGTTTCTGTTTTGCGACAGGTTCAGAAGTTGACCAAAATAGAAAGGTTTGTTCACCAGAACTGGTCCTATTGGTGGACAATTAGTTTACGTCAGAATGCCCTTTAATGTTTACAGTTTTAATCATTTAATTATTTACAGTGAGTGACCATTGTTGGTATTGGCCATTCAGAATCGGTTATTGGGAATGTCAATTAGTCATTGCCGGTCGTGGGTGCTTTGTTGTCTAATATGGGTGGTGCGCTGTGATGATGAGGTGATATGTTTGTGGCGTGAAGTTCTTTGGTGTTTTATCAGAGGTGTTATGGAGGATGCGAAGTGAATTTTGTACGATACTGTTCTGAAGTAATTTGGTCAGGCACAGTTTGCTCTGAGTATTAGCATACAAAATTTTGGGACACATATTACCTAATCTGTTTTACTTAATGTTAAATAAAACCCTGTTTGAATATGGCTGTCGTCTGGGCTGTTGCGCCGTGTAGTGTGATAAAATTTTACCGACGTTTCAGAGGTCCTTGTTGCTTTCATCATCAGGGCGTGTAGTCGTAGAAGTTTACCGACGTTTCAGAGGTCCTGTGCCGCCTCCATTATCAGGGGAATCGTCGGGAAACGTCTACCAGACTACACGGTGCAACAACCCAGAAGACAGCCTTCTTCTGACTCACCTTTGTAAAAACCTCAAATCCTACAAGGCCCTGTTTCTTGAATTGTGTCATATGAGTAAAGAGTTTACATTTAAAATTAGAGAATATCTTTCTTGGTCTTCAGTTAACCATTTATCCATGTTTGTTGCAAGAATTATAGTGTTTGCTGTTTTGCACAATATATTTATTTTCTAATTTTTTTATTCAGAGAAGGACATGGGAGATACAACAGGTTTATCCAATACTGAGGCAAAAGAGATTTGCAACCCACCAGATCCAGAAACAAAAGTGAGTTTTTTTTCCACTGTGGAGATGTTTTTGAACTTTTATTAAAGCTAAAGACTACAAGTAACCACATTGCATGCATGATATGAACATGAATATTTCTGTATTCATCGCCCTGATGATGGAGGCAGTATGACCTCTGAAACGTTGGTTAACATCGACCAGTGTACACAGCGCAACAACCCAGAAGACAGAAATCTTCATACTCACCGCTGTGAAAACCTAAGATCTTACATGATATGAACAGTGTATGATGAAACTTCTTGCTACTGATTTTATTTAAATTAAATGGTGAAATAGTCATTAGTTTATTCGGAGGTTTCCTGTTAAGATGGTTATATTAAGAGGGTTCACAATGCTAGGACAGTGATTTATGTAATTTCATATAACAAGGAATTTCTTGAATTTATTAGGTTTGTGATATTTGATGATTTGTACCTGTTGGACATTATTCATTGTCAAAGGTATTTGCTGTAGGGTAAATAAGGTAAAACATCAAATTTTAGGGCCCATGCTATTTGTAATATACTTATATGCCCTTTCTCCAACATTAAATAACTTATCAGAACCCATATTATTTGCTGATAACACAAGTGTTATAATTTCTAGTAACAATTTTTATGATTTCTATGCAACAGTTCTCTTTCATGAGTAAATGGTTTACTATTAACAAGCTAGTATTACTGACCAGGAATATAATTCACTATGGGCAGATTCTTTCTGTATCATTCAGCAAAGGCTGTTAGTTGCCAGCTTCTTACTGTGGAAGTGGCTAGTGTCCAGTATTTTCAAGGTGGATAATAGTTGTGTAGATCATTTAAGCAGTGGCCTCATGATTTATTCTGTTGCGTTTCCTTATTTCACATCTCCTTCTGTATTTTGTCCAACAGGGCTAAAGAGCTTGGATCTGAACTTTAGTACTCAACATCTTTTATGCATTTATTAGAGTAATGTATCTTCTTTGCAGGAATTTATATTCCAACAAACTATGTATCGCATTAAGGATCCACGGCGATCATTAGAGTTTTATACAAAGGTTTTGGGAATGACACTATTACAGAAGTTGGATTTTCCAGAGATGAAATTTTCTTTATATTTTATGGGATATGAAAAAGCTGAAGACATTCCATCAGATCCTATAGCACACAGTGAGTGGACATTCTCAAGGAAGGCAACTCTTGAACTCACTCAGTGAGTATATTGCTAAAGATATGTTATATAATAATTTCATTAGATGTATGCTTTCATTTGTGAGTGAAGTCCTCATGTTCCTTTTGGAGACTGAAGAAGTTGCTTTGCGTCTGTCATGGTAGTATGTTATTCTGTACATCATAACCAGCATAACATACATGATTTTAACAGGTGCTTTCAGAAGGACTCTTAAAGATACTTGTGATGACATGGATTGTGGAAGATAACTGAGTTAGTAAATATTGTTCTTAATAAAATATCTGTGAACAATTGAACAAGTAATCAACTTACATTTAGTTACAAAGCTAAAGGAAGGACTTGTAAGTTTTCTTAGATCCTCCCATTAATATCATTTTTGACTTCTGAAGTGTGTGTTGAACTATACACCTTTATAATGAATTCTTCCTGTGCTACCAGCCGTGTAAGGTGGTTTAATGGAGAAAACGCCAATGTTTCGAGAACCATCTTTATACTTGTTCTTAGAGTACTGAAGTTGTAGGAGATCCCATCTGTCATAATATGCTGTTCCAGCATCTTTGTGGTTACAGATTTTAGACAGTGTAGTGTCTCTTGGAATATTTTGAGTTTTTGACTGATCTGTTATGAACAGAATGAAACAGAACATGCTTTTCTTTTTGTAGTAATTGGGGAACTGAAAGTGATCCTGATTCAGAATATCACAATGGGAACTCAGAACCACGAGGGTTTGGTAAGTATTTATTTTTTTGTTTTTACAAGTTAGTCCTTTTGGAGACATGCCTGTGATTTTTCAGCTTATCATTCAGTTGACTTGAGCTTCTAAAAATGACAGTGATTGGCTACACCATACTTTAATGAGTTCTTTTTCTTACAGGGGAAGGTTTAATAAATGAAACAAGTCTTCTTTTAGTAATGTTACCAGGGAGAGATGTATGACATAAGATAGCTATCTCAGTAGTGACTGGCTATGAGCTAGAGTATTGGGCTTTGATTCCTGGAAGAGGAGAGATTTTTCTTTTTCCCCTAAGTGTCTGAGACTGGCTCTGGACTTTCTCAGGCTCTTAGCCAAATGCTTTTCTGTGGGTGAAGAAGCAAAAGCGTGAAGCACCATCTAGTGTAAAATTATAGAATGCTCTCTCATAGCATGGTGTTTTGACATGGGGCAAGTCCATCTTTCATTTCAAGCTTTCATTTTGATTCTGCTTTTGGGTACTGGCATGATGCAGAAGTTTTCTTATCACCAGTACTTTAGATGATCATAATGTCTCTGTCATCAGGGCAGAAGTGAGGAAGGTTGTAAAGTAGTTGGTTTATATTGGGATAGGAGATATATCAGGTCATAGGAAAATTGACAAACATGGGCCCATAATAAAAGGAAGGGTGTTTCTTGACTAGCGGAGTGGCTTCTGGCATCTTAAGAAGGACATTGCTGCATGGTGTCATTTATAATAAAAGTAATCACATGGTATTTCTTACTTACTCTTCCAGGCCATATAGGAGTTGCTGTTCCTGATGTTGACAAAGCGTGTGAAAGATTTGAGAAACTTAATGTGGAATTTGTAAAGAAGCCTAATGATGGTAAGATATATCCATCTTTTAATCTAAAATATGGTTTCTTAAATACTGTTGGCAGGCAGTCTGGATGCGCAAGTGCCCCTTATTTAATCACCTTGTCATAGTGACTGTGATAATTGTTATGAAACATAACTGTCCATATTCGAATGTCTCTGGTACACTGGCTTGAAAAAAGGAACATATATCTTCTGAATTTACTTCTGTAACTTCAAATTGTTCATAACAGTTATGCAGGTTTGCTAACTTCATGTGCCTGATACTTTCTGTGAATTTAGTACAAAAAATAGTTCCTGGAAATTGTACTCTTCTGCATTAGTGTTTACACTATTCATAGAAACACATTTTCTTTCTGATGATCATTCAGGATATTGAGTGTTACTGGTATGCACCTATAACAAATAACTATAAAGGCCTCATATGAAAAGAACTTAATGAAAATTAACAATAGAGGTTTTAATGTCGGACTTTGTCACTATTTCTTCAAATAAAAATATGTGAGTTTCAAACATTAGGTTGACTCAAATATATATTTTCTTATCTTCCTTCCCCTATTTTTGTAAAATTGTATGCTCAGTAATGGTAAGCATATCAGTGAATGTCATGAAGATTACTGTATGAGATTAAATTTGTTTATTATGCTATGACTGAACTAGCTTTTTATTAGCTGATGTATGGATTTTTAGATTTATTACTTCTGCACAGTAATTCAATGACAAAATGGCTGTGTAGCATTGTGCATTACATTATGAGTGCCAGAAAGCAAGATTTCTATCACACTCTTACTAGCAGAAAATAAAAGAATATTCACTATTAATACTGATAACACTGGCCATATTATCTTGAGAAAGACATGTATATTTGCTTTCTTCTGTATTGTTTCGTTATGTGCAAACATTTTGATGGTCTAATCTTGCATCCTAAGAGTTTGATCATGTTTCAGCAAAGGTTCAGAAAATTTGTACTGTAGAAAAGATTTAGCCTCAAGCCTGGCTGTACTGCCATTTGGAATAAAGCATACTTTTACTAGATATTTTGTTTCATTATTTTTATATTTTCTAGGTAAAATGAAAGGAATTGCCTTTATTAAAGATCCTGATGGCTATTGGATTGAAATCTTGAGCCCGACAGGAATGGGGAAGTTGCTTCAATAGTTTGATTTCTTTCAAGATCTGAAAATATTGGTATACAGCAAACATGATTATAGGCAGGTATATCAAGATGATTTCCTTGTAAAATCAGATTATAAACAAGTTCCATCATAAACATAATCAAATAATTACTGCAGTACCGTGACTTAAGAAATGGTGAGACATCATGGTAATATATTTAGTCCTACCTTACTTTCTCAGTCAACAAATGGTTTAACATGCACCATTTGTTTGCAGTTATTAATATTACATTTATCAGTTCCTCTTTGTGAGACTTCTGTTAGATAATTTCTGCAATTTAAATTTTAAATTAGGTGGGATCTCTTTACATTTTGACCAGTTGGATGATGAGGCAGTCAGAACTAATGGAAACCTTGTTGTAGCCCTTTCAAATTGTAAACTTCTGTATGTAATATATTGTGTAGTTTATTATATGAGCTGTCAGAAAAATTTATTATATGATCCATAGTCCATTGTAACATGATTTTATACCATGACAGTAAAAAAAATACTGTTTCAGTTAAGGCCAGTCTTGTACTTACCAATGTGTAGAGTATGGACAGTGGTAAGGTATTGTGCCATAAACTCATTTCTAACACATTCATTGCCAGGCTTTTTTTTTGTGTGTGTTGGCTGAACAACCATCCTAAACAAACTGATTGTTTCCAGCTGTAAAAATAAACAATTCCATTGAAAATGAGTATTTTGGTTTCTCAAAGCTTTTGTTATTGTCTTTGAAATATTAGTGGTATTTGAATGGTGAAATGTTTTATCAACTAAGTGAAGTTGTTGTAAGCCATCTTTGGTTGAAGAACATCCGTCTTCATTGGCAGTGAATGTGTTCGTTTTGTTCACTGGGGAGGTTATAAAGTTGTGGGATTTTTGTACTTTTTTTACACTCAATAATATAAGTAAAAGTATTTAAAAAACATTAAACCAAGAGAGGTCACTATGTTTTATAAAACAATGAGCAACATTCAGTCATGAATGACATCATTTGGTTTAAGCATATTAAAAGTAGTGAGCATTTATATGCATATGTGTTTTTCACATAGGCTAGAAAAGTGAACACTGCATTATGACTTGTGTATGATGTCTGGCAGAGTAAGGAAAGCTGAGGGATCACCTTTTGGAGGAACCTAACACTGAGCAGTGATTTGCTGTGTTATAAAAGTAAGGAATTATGCATATTTTATGACTTGATAGTGACTTCAGAAATTGTGGGATATTGCCAGTATATTTTAGTAGTATTTCAAGAGATAAACAAAAGGAGGTAGCAGTTTGCAACAAATCACCTTGAAGTGAGCCTGATAGGTATAGTTATGTCAGGCAGCCAGTAAATCCAGATTAAAATAAGAAAATAGGCAATGACAGTTATTACAGTTCTCATTTGTTCTCTTCATTATCTGTTGGATGTTGCCATTTAAAAATCTGTCAGTAAACAACATTCTGAAAGATTTTCTTATTATATCACCATTATGATTTTTGTGTTGAACACCTTCAGCAATGCTGATATATCTAAGCTGAATTAACGTTACAGTACCAAGACTGATTAAGTTGGTGGTAAAAAATAATCGTGCATCTTCAATGTTAATTAGCTTGATCCTCCATATCTCTCATTCATCATTTCAGTTTGCTACATGCAGCTATGTTATCTGGTAGTAGAGGCAGAATCTCTGCCAGCAGTGGTGGGAAATGTAAATATTTAAATCTGAGTATTATATAGATGTTGTAGTCACTCTTTTATCTCAGTTTGTGTTTGGACGTATAATAAGGGTGTTGATTTGATGATAACTGGTACCTGTATGGATTCAGAATAATACTGATAAAACTTTTAATTTAAAAGAAATTATTTAACATTGAATTTATGAAAAGTTCCTGAATATATTTTTCATACAAATCCTCTGTGTTATTATGTTCACAAAAGAAAGATAGTCTCCTAATTTCTAACTTTGCTGTGTATTTCCATGGAGGCAGGGATTTCCAATTCCTTTTATTACATTTATCTGGGATTAGTCATGATGCACTTAAAATAGTCATTATAATATTAATCCTTACATGGTTCACCTGAGTGTCATACCATGTATTTCAACAATAAGCAACTGTTTCTCAGAGGTCCATTTTAATATTACTTTCCAATTTATGCCTAAATCCCCAAAGTGGTTGAATGAATACTGTCTCATTTGTCTTTCTTTCCATGTAGGAAACACAAACACCTAAAAAATGACCAATAAGTCACCCCAAGTTTCAAACCCGTAACACTTCCAGGATTTAAAATTTTATCTGGGAACTTTTATGTATGTACTGACTTGGGAGCTTAATTCCCACTGGAAATGCATTTAAGAAGGCTTGATGGACAGACCGACACTTTGTTTAAAGTTTATATAAGGATGTATTCTAAACTGCTTATGATGTATGTTACACAGTATCAGGCACTTGTGAATGATTATATACCGATTCAATTATGTGCATTCTGAATTCTTGTAGATAGCATCCTGAAACCATAGGAAGGAAGAGTATAATACAATATTAAACTCAACTGTTTATTTCTTAACATAAGATAACTGTTTAACTAAACTAAAACTATATTTTGGAAAAATAAATAAAAGAATGAATCTGGAAGTACATGATATGATGTTCATGGAATTGAGTTACAATTAAACATCAAACATATGGTCTAATGCACTTTTCACTTCACACTGATCAAGGGGCTGATTCTTGTATTTTAAGAATTCAGTAATGGTAGCAGCTTATTATTATTATGAGCAACAGCTTTTAGTAGGAATTCAATCCAGCCTATATCTTCTTCAGTAGCATAGTGACTTTGTTTCACCATATGGAGAAGTGCTTCTACTCGAGTCTTGAGCACAGCAGCCTGAAAAGATATAATGTTCAAGATTTGAGCACATAAATGTGTGAATAAAATCAACGATAAGTAAATATTACATCAAGTGGATATAAAAACACAAAGGAAATAGAATAAGTAAAAGGTCCATGTAAGTATGTGTATTCATATTATCTGCAGGTCTGTTTCAACCCAAAGATTTCTTCCTAGTGTTATCGCTGGTAAGTTGAGATGTACCAGGAGTACACTGTAAGTGTACTAAGTCCTCATTTTACAACATCGTGTATGTCTTGAAAGTTGCATGATGAAAAAATCGTGACTTGAAAATAAATCTCCCATCAATTTAAATATAACAGTAATTATTTTCAAATAAATACTTTCCCCTTACAATACTACAATAAGTAAATGGCTTACCAAATAAACAGTAACAATCTGTGCCTCCTCTAAGGATTCAGGAGACAAGGACATTTCAAACCCAATATTATGTTGAAAAAAATGTAATTTCACTTATATGCAATGAATAATACTGTCCAACTACACATTTGTATATTTATTTACTATATGTCCCTTTTATGAAAATTTTAAAATAAAGGAATTGCTTTAAATGTCAGGTTAAGGGGGAAATTTTTTTAGCAGTTTCAATACAACTGTAAGGATGAAACCCTACCCATCTTGAATCGCCACCTTGCATGTTATAAATACAGAATGAGATCTGCTAATTAAACAGTGTACACTTACAGCACTTCTAACTGCGTCTTTATTCATGGGAGGATACATACAGGATACCATATCATCTACTGCAGGGCTAATTTCCACAGATTTAGACACCAAGTCATCCAACTGTGAAATCTGTTCTTCTGTCTCAAACTTCCCTTTTATTTGCAACACAGCACCTATTCTCTTAAAGGATGAGCGTGCAGTTTTCACCAAACCCATGCAAGGAAACAGCAATTCCCGATCTTGGTTACTCCATGTCATAGAGTTGTCTTCTTCTTCTTCCTCCTCTGTTCTCAGTCCATTGCCACTTTGCTCAGCAGCAACCTCCTTGAATTAAGATAATATTTGCTGATCTAATTATTCACTATAATCATAATTAAGCTAATTTATGTGGTAGAATAAATGTGACATCATTTATATTCAAATTATATACTAATATTTAATCTGATTGGATATCCTGGTTATGTAAAATACCTCCAGAGAAACAGATCAGGTTGTTTATACATACAAAAGATATCAAATATATTTTAGGAGTATAAGATGATGCATAACTTATGTAATATAATGTATTATTTAAAGATTTTTCAAACCAGGCCCCACATTAACTCTGATGAACAAAAGGAAAGCCACAGTCTATTATAAATTGTACCAAGTTTTACAAAAAAAAATAATGTTTTACCTCTTCTATTTCCTGCAAGGCATCTAGTACAAGACCATCTTCTCTCTGTATAATCTTGCAAGTTACTTGCAAATTATTCTGAGGCAAACCTTCTATGGCTTCACAAGCATCCCACACACGGCCTGTTAGCATCAATCTGTCCTTTTGCCTACAAAGAGACAAATTATGCACTGGTCAAGAAACAGAATTATATAAGCACATAATTTAATTCATCACAATTACTGATATCAATACACAATTCTAATTCACACACCTTTTCAATTTCCTATTTTTCTTTTCTGCCACAGTATCTATAGCAAATACCAAAATCCATCTTTGTTCTATTTTTTGCAAACTTGAAATTTGCATGTTATAATTGCCAGCTACTTACGCCTTATCTCCTTCTTCTTGTAATGACATTACTACAGTGATCAATGACTCCACGATTTGCAGCACTGCCATATTTACTTCTTTCCGTAACACCAATCCACAGCTCTTTGGCAGAGTATAGAATGTTGATAACACTTCAAGGTATGCAGTCTCCAATGTCCTCAACATTTCATGTGTCTGTGTCACACCAGGTAACGGAGACTTGGAGAAAGCCAAGCACAGTTTTGTCACTTCATTTGATATATACTTAGATGAAACACCTTTAAAATAATAAGTGGAACAGAATTTTTTTATAACGTTCACTTGAATATGATGGTAACACTAATGAAAATCTAATAGTCACTGCTTCTAAGACATTTTTGTATCAGTACAATACTCTACAAATATGTGAATTTCAACATAAACCACATGTGATATCGGTCTCATCGCAGCAAGTATGTGGTTTATGTTGAAAATGACTATCTTCTGGGATGTTGCACTGTGTAGTCTGGTAGATGATTAACAATGTTTCAGAGGTGCTTACTGCATCCATCTTCAGGGAGATGACTTCTGCACATCAGTAAACTTCTATCAGACTACATGGCACAACATCCCAGAAGACAGCCTTCAATATAAATCACAGTTACCAGATGTTTTTTTCCCAAAAATCATCAAACTGAGTTTGTTTCTTAAATAGCCAGGTCACTATCATTTACAGATAAGGTATCAGAAAATGTATGAAAGTACATGCGCAATGGTCCATAGCCTTACAATACATACGCAATTTGAGCCAAAAATCATCAAGGCTGAATTCACAGTTAGACTTATCCACTCCTTCTCCACCTATAAACAAACAAGGCAGTAACTTTAAGTACTACACAAAGTAATTGAATGAATTCTGTTTTCCTTACATTGTCAGTATTTAATCCTACAAAACAACATTATAGAGCACTTTTCTGTCATGTTTTCAACCAAAAGTTGCAAAAATATGCTCTGTCATGTTAATCTGTCTATGTAAATACTCATCAACAATTAAATTTTCAATGCATTGGTACTGGTGAATTTTACTACAATTATTTTACACATTGAAATCAGATATAATAATAGGCACTTTATATGACAACCTAAATGTGTTTATGCAAGTGAACGTGACTGGGTTTGGAACCCCTGTGAGATGATGTCATAATTGAGCCAGACAGGCACCAGGCACACTGCCCATGCACAGGTAATTGACACTACTCACTACAAAGGTCAACAATATTTAGACACACAAACAGCCTTCTACATATACTTGCACTAATCATATGACAATATTAACAAATTTAAAATCCACGGACAGTAATGTAAACAATAAACTTATACAAAATTAATCTAAATTTAATAGTGACATTTCCTCCACACCATATACAGCAGAGATCTGGGATAGCTCAGTCAGTATAGGGGCTAAGCTATGTCTTGGATAATGGGTTTGATTTTAAATAGAGGCAAGAGTCTTCTCTTATCCAGACTGATGCTGGGGCCTCTCCAGCCTCTTATGCAATTGGTAATGCAGAGGTAAGCAGCTGAAGCATGAAGCTAACCACTCACCAACATCTAGTGCCAAGGTTAAGAAAAACTTGAGTTATACTTCACTCTTTTACCTAAAACATAATAGGTGTAATACTGTGACTCTTTTGCACAGTATCAAACTCCATGAAGCATAGTCCTTCTTGAGAAGCTGATGATACAGTCAGCTATTCAATAAATTTGCTGTTTACAAAAACAGAAGGTTAATTACCATGTAGGATTTCAGGTTCCTATGGCATTGAGTTTGAAGATGGCTCTGTCTTGTGTGATAAAGTGTCATGTAGTCTGGTAGGAATTAACTAAAGTTTCTGAGGTACTTGTTGCCTCCATCAGAGCACCCTGATGACAGAAGCAACAAAGTACCTCTGAAACACTGGTAAACTTCTACCACACTATACAGTGCTAAAACCCAGAAAACAGGCATCTTAGTTTTTTACCATGTACACCAACAGCCAAGATATGACACTGACCACTTTGCCCCATCTACTGCCAAGGTTAAGATTGAGGTGCTATACCTCCTATCCCCCACACACCTACATAGTGTATAGTGGGGCACCCTTTTTACTTACTTTTACCAACAATCTCTATCCTGAGTCAGATAAATCCAATCCATACCTCCAACCCTTTTCCCCTAAGATCAATTTTAATACTATCCTCCCATCCATACTTATGACTTCAGAGTGGTCTTTTCCCTTCAGGCTTTACATAACAATTTGTTACAGATTTTTCATGGGCCTCATGCATGCCTAATGTTGCATTCTAAAATCGAAGTTGAAAAGCAATGGCCATAGAGCATCTTGTTTCCGACCATTTTGAACAACAAATGCACCAGATAAATGTATCTTTACAGACCTTGTTACATGACTTATTTAAACACATTTTAATTAGCCTAACTAGTCCCATTGCAACACCGAATTCAATGGGAGTTAGCTTCTCTTTCAGAACGTTGGCAAATAATACATAAAGAGAATTAGAACATATGTCACCTTCTAATTGCTGCAGTGCAAATTGCATGTGATCAACGACAGTATCGAATACGTTTCCCAAACTTTCGGCCATAATTACTTCCTTATATTTATGTTATTGAGACAAACAGCTCCCGTGCTTCAAGCTCATTCATAAGACCGACAATATATATTACACCTAACACAATTCCCGAAATCCATGTTTTTCCAGTATGACAAGGCAAGGTATATTCTAATTCATAGTGGGAAATTCTGTGTTTCATGAATGGGCGATAACCGCTGAGAAATGTATGGGCGCCTAGGAGCATTTTGTAAAACAGTGTGTGTGGACAAATACTACTTATTTGGAAAATCGTTTTATTTGCGTAGACAAAAACTTTTGTTGACAAAGGTAGCGTATAGAATACAATACAGGATTTAATATTGTAGGTAAATTAAGAGTAATTATTAGGTTGCATGTCTGAAAGCGTATTCAGTGGTTAGGTTATACTTGAATTTCGTATTTCATACAACACATGTGAACTTGCTAAATAATGGTTGTTTGAGTACATTTTTACCTGTTTTCTTGAATCGTTTGTGAGATTTCAGATTCTCACGGTGGCAAGTATGAAGATTACTGTCTTCACAGTTGTGAGATTTCAGGTTCTCATGGCTGCGAGTTTGAAGATGGTTTTTTCTATATTGTTGCGCCGTGTAGTCTGGTAGAAATTTACCGACGTTTAAGAGATAGTTCGTCCTGGTGTTAGAGACAACAAACATCTCTCAAATGTTGGTAGACAAATACCAGGCTACTGGGCCCAACAATCCAGAAGACTTATCTTTATCTTCTGGTTTGTCGCACTGTGTAGTCTTGTACAGAACAGCATTAACCTGGGCCACTGTATTTAACTACAGAACTTGTCTCCTAGGACAGCACACTGTCTTTTTCTAGTTCTTGGTATTCTTTAGGTTGCCAGATTTTGTACTATTCTTGTATCTTACTGATAAGTTTTTTGTTGTTGCTCAGAATGAGGCAGGATGATCTTCAGGCCCAGAGCTTACATGCTTCTTTTCAATGCATTGCCTATTCTTGCCATTGGAGTGCTTCATATTGGTGTTGCCAATTGCCATTATTTATTTTGTCAATTGAAATAAATGTATATATATGCTAGAAAGAATCATTAGTGTTTTCCCTATATTTACAGCATGCATAGTTTATTATACTCGTAGAAATTCTTTTAGTGATGTAACCCCTTTATATACATAACTAGAAATGTAAGTTCTGAGACCAATTTTAAGGTGTCTTTTATCAGCATATGCACAAACCATTAGAACAATAGTTATGTGCGTGTAATAGTTATGTGCTTGTTAAACATGTAACTCACTTTGTTACAGGTAACCATATCAGACATGTTTGCTCCACCATTGCCTCATCCAGGCCGATTGTATAGTGCCCCCAACAGGTTTCCTGGTAGAGAATCAGGTTTGTAAGACATTTTAATTATTGTAACACTGAGTGCCCATGTAGTTTAGGTATAAGCTGCCATGGGGCTTTTAGGTTTGTGACTAATCATATTCACTGTGTATTTTTCTACATGCCTGTTCATTGATTTCAGAAACATCCAAAACTATGTAACCCCACTGCTTCAGATTCCACTTAAAGTTATAGGTCTCTGTGCTTGCCATGTCTTTATATTTTTATCATAAGAAGACCCTGTCCTGTTGGTGCTTGGATCTGAAAGTATAAATTCCTGCTTGTATAATTTCTATGCATGTGTAGAAGAGGATGATTTAAGACCATTTGTGGGGGACATGAGCTATGATATTCTTCTGTAATTTTGTAAGCACATTTTTAACTGATTTGAATTATGCCAGTACTTGTATATTTGCATTAAGTAAAGCAAAAGAACAGTGGAAATTTGTTACAAAATGGTTTTGACTTTAAGCATGTATGTTGTTATTATATAAAATAAGTATGGTTGATGATAGAATGTAGTATGACTTGCTGTCTGAAGACAGTAATTGTCATAAATATTGATTGTAGAAATCCTGTTTCTTTAACTAAAATAAATATTGCTGAACCTGAAAGCAATTTTATGTTAAAATATTGAATCTGGAAGGGTGGCAGTATTTAGAGGGGAATTGTATTGCAGTTTGACGGTGTAGATATATGTATGTAAAAATTTGAATATAAATTTGGTACATGTGTTATATACAGTTTTTAATTTATACATTATTTTATAACATTGAGTGCCTCAAACAGTACAAAAGAGTAAATAACATTAATTGCAGACACAGCTTACTACTACAACTTTATATTTAAGTGGGACATTAATATTCATTGTTGTTTGAAGGTCAAAGTAATGTGGTAAATCGAGTGTCATGTGGAGACTTGAGGGAGTGTCATATTGGATTGGAGGTGGAATTGTGTGGTCGTGTACAATATCAACGTGTTGGGCGATTCCTTACTTTGCGTGACCAGTATGGAATGACCCAGGTTATTGCACCAGACGATGTAAGTTAATTACTGAGAGACAGAATTTTACTTTGCATTACAGTTGAGCCATAAGCTTTTTATTTTCTTGTTTGATATCTTTATATAGTATTCTTCCTTAACATTCAACATTTCATATAGTGATTGATGTAATATGTTCTGTGGAATTAAAATGGAATACTTCATTTATATGCAGAAGATAAGGTAGGTGAAAAGTTACTGCCTTGCTTACATGATTCCTAGAAATTGTTTTGGATGTTGTTTTACATTACATGGAACTGTACATGTGTAAAATTTAATGCTGTTACATTGAATCATAGTCATTATCAATTTCTTTTGCTTTTCTAGTACAAATGCTCATTTTAGGTGTTCTTTACATTTTAACAAAGAACACCCTATGGGTCCTTCCATGTTTGTTGTGTTTTTCATCATATTGTTACAACAGTGATGGAGCATATTTCTGCAGTAGGTACTGTGGTTAATATTGTTGTACCAGTGACAGTCAATACCAATGTTGCATTTGTTATTCTCTTGATTTCCTTGCTTACATCATCACCCTTGATGTGGCATGAAGAACACCTATGAAATTTTAAAGTACTCTGAATTGTACACCTTTTCAATCTTGTTATTTCTTTCCAGCGTCCTGATATTGGACGTCGGCTAGCCAACATGCCTCTTGACTCATTTGTTGCTGTAAGAGGGTGGGTGTATCCTCGTCCTCCTGGACAACATAATGTGGTAAATAAATGTGCAATTATCCCTGCATGTGAAGTTCACAAATTAGCAGAGTTTGTAATGTGTGCATTTTTGTTAACAGTTCTGTTCTGTTTCCTATTTTATATATATCCATAAGATAGTTCTCCTTTCTTTTTGTGTCTCAGATTGTTGTGAATGCCACTTGTCTGAGGTTTAGAAAGGACTATTGCTCTTACAGCAGCACTGTTGCAATATGTATTAAGATAATGAAGGCTGCTGAAGTTATTGCATATTACAAGTTAGCATGGTCAATGCACAAGCATAATTTTAACTGGCCTTTCTAATCTTATTTTCATTTGAAGGTGGTGGATTATAATTGCAGCTTTTGATTATTTATGTGACTACTTTATACCTGGATTGTAATTCACGTTTGATTCCGTCATGTACTTAAGCATAAATACAATAAGATAATTATGTTCCATTGTTTACACTGAACTTTATTGACTAAAGAGCATGGATATTAAGTATTCTTCATGAACTAGCATGAGCAAAGAACACCTTATGGGCCTCTCCATGTCTGTCAGTCACGTTTTTCATCAGCCTTCTAGGAAGTAGGCAACCCTCAGGGCTTCCACAAGGTTCAAGGCAAATAAATCTCTGCACTCTGAGGGTTCCTCCCCCCTGGACTTCCAGCCCAGATTTTTACCCAGCAGGGCTCTTTATCCTAGGCTTTTACTAGTTTATTATCATAGGGTCCCCAGGCTTCCAAAATGCATGCCTTGGCTCGTACAGGACACCATTATGTGTTAGAACATTTAGTACTGGTCACCCACAGCCTGCTACCCAGAAGCTTGGCAGACTAGGGGCTGGGCCGCCTCCTAGAACGGAAAACCATGGGAAAACCTTGAACACTTGTTGCTCCAGGGACTTTTTTCCTTGGACCACCTCTCCCTTACCTTCCCCACCTGTCCTGGGCACCCCTGGGCTGTATTTTCAATAGTGTTAACTGAGGTTATTTTTGGAATAGATCACAGAGCAGAAATGACCTTAGATGCCATTATTGCAACTGTTATTCTCTTGCTTGTCCTTCTGATGTCATTGCCCATGAGCACCTTTAGAATTCCAGTGTTCTTCAAAGAGTACACCTTTTCAACCTGGTTTTCATCACTCTTGAAATGTTAAAATTATTTTAGTTGAGCAACTTTATACAGTTTCAAATGTGTAGAAAATAATATATGGCTATTTCCATTTTATTTTCTGACAGTATCTTGCTTTGTATTTACTTTTTTTGAAAATCCTGTGTATTTATTCTAATTTCATAGCTGTATTGAAAATTGGAGTTAAATTAGTCTTCTGTTGTATTACAGAGGATGCCTACAGGCAGTGTTGAAGTAATTATCAAGGAGTTCAGAATGGTTCGGCCAGGAAAGAAGTCAGCTTTTGATAATGTATGTAACACTGCAATGTTGTGAAACTTCATTACTGCAAGAATTGACAATCCACAGTTATAAGTTAAAAAATGTATGCGTGACACAACAATTTTGTTGCATTTGTCCTGTTCTAGAGTATTAAAATTAATTTTTTGTTCTGTCTTATAAGTAATATAAAACAGATGGAACATGTGAATAGTGACTTCCAGTGTAAAAAGATCAGAATCGGTCTGATGGTTCTCACATTTTGAATTATGACACAACTTAAAATTCTTGTTTGTTTACTGTATTTCCCTGAAAGGAAGATGACGTTGACCCCTTACTAAGAAGCATGTCTGCATAGAAAATGTGATTTTGTGTTAATTTAAAACAATTTCTACAAGAAAACATGCAAAAGATAGTAGACATGCTATACATTGCATTTATTGATTAAATTTCCTTCATTCAGTTTTTCCAGTTGGTGTCATACTTGCATATCAGCTCACAGGCTTCATGATTATAAATGAAGACAATTTATTGAAACTTCGTGGTTGTATATTAAGGATGTTACAACATACTACTATGAATTTGTTTACAGTAATATTTTTAACAAAAGCAATCATTAGTGTGATATTTGACATTACTTTTACTTGACTAATATATCAGTGTTGTGTTTAGTTTCTGTTGTTGCATCTCTCCATATGTTCATCAGTAAGATGCTTCCTGGTCTGTAGTGTAGAGTTGGTCACACCAATAGTTCCTGCCAAATACTGATGACATTAACAATATGTGTTTTCTAATAATTGAAACTATTTTTCATCATACTGATCAACACAGTAGGTATATTATAAAAAAGTACACTGGCCGCTCAAAACACATTGGAGGGTAGCATGTGGCCTACAGGATGTGGGTTGAGAACCTCTGTTCTAGTGTTGCAAGCAACAGATGAATGTATGGATAGACAGCTGAAGTGTAAGACTTTTTTATTTTTACATCCAATTCAGCCCAATTTGTGCAATACCAGCTGCTTTATATGAAACTAAAGAGTCCATTTTTTAGGTAAAAATATATAACAAACTTGCCTTTTTATAAAGAACATGTATCTGATTCTGTGAATGTGAATGTAGAGTAATAAGTGGTTTAAAATTGCTTTGAGTATATGGAAACATGTATATGGAAAAGAAAAGCAGGAATTTGTTGGAAAATAATGATGGTGTTCTAGGTTGTGGCATTGTGTAGACTCACCAGTCAATGTCAACATTTTAGAGATACTGTCTCCATCTTCAGGGCAGAAGTTGTATTCTGATGTTATCATACCACCATCACTTTCTGCAAAAATATATAAATACAAATTATTTGCCCTAATGAATATGCAGCTGTATCTGTCAAGAAATTCCAGATTTATTCCTATGGGGTTATTGTATTGTAAAGAACTATCAGTGACTTGCCAGGACTGAGTTGTTTTTCACTACAGTCTTAAAGGAAACAAAATAGTCACCTATGACTTCAACAAAGCATTCCATTCCTAAAGACACTCAATCATATTATAAGGGTGGCAAGAAAGGACATGGGGCAGCTTCATAGAACACACTGTTTCCAGTGCAGTCTACATGTGGAAATGATGAGACATGCGTTCTTTTTACGCTGCTGTGAATTATCAATCAGGCTGAACTGTGACATAGTATCTACGAGCCATTGTCTGCACATTCCCTTAACGTTTGCCATAACCAACAGATACATGGTGCTAGCAGTACAAGGGAAGTACATTGAAGCATTACAGAGCCAATACCTGTGACTTTTGGTGTAAGGTAAGGGGTCTGCAGCTGTCACTAATGGGTCCCATTGTATTTAATATGTTAATAGGCATATTTAGGTGAACAATTCATTTTTTGTTAGAAGTAAATATGTTAACCTATGTCTATTTTCTGTGACTTTCTTACAGGTTTCAAAGTCAAAATTCAAGAAAAATGCAGATGCAAGTAAGTCTTTGCCTACTCATAACAGGCTTACAAGTGAAGAATTTGCAAAGTGTGGTAAGTGCAAAATACAGAAAATTGCCTTAAATTAATGATACACTATTTCAGAATCTTATAACTCAAATTTTGTTTGTGTCTGAGAACTACTACATGTTTTAGTATTTAACCTTGAGAAAGTATTTTCTGTGATATTTTTTAAGTCAAGAGTATTTCTATCAGTGTCAGTAGCGGTACCTGAATATCATTAGCAGTATATACATTTTTGATATTGTTAGCTGTTTTTTGAAGAACATTTAATCAGAATATGATTTTTACTTTTTTTCTTGTACTATTTCTTTTCTAGAGTCACCAAGTGTAACAAGTAGATTTGCACGTCGAACACATACCTGTGGTGATTTGAATGAGAACACAATAGGGCAAGATGTTCATCTGTGTGGTTGGGTGGAACTTAAGAGACTTGGACGGTTTCTCACTCTACGTGATGGTTATGGTGTAGCTCAACTTGTTGCACCTAATAACGTAAGGAAACATATCTGAGTATTATGTTCCTTTATGTTTTGAGTTTTGTCTTAAAGACCTTGTGGAGGATAAGCTGTTGTGAACAAAGTTTATACCAGACAGTACTTCACATTTATGGGTTAGGAGTGAACACCTACTTTGTAAGATTTGTGTAACAGTGATATTTAATTTTGGTAGATATTTTAAAATTTAAATTAACGACAGCTACATGAATTTCATCATTTTCTCATTCATGTCAAGTTTGGCAACAGTATTTATTCCTTGCACCACCTTAACTTTTATAGTTTCCTCTTCCTTTCATGTATTTACACTTCATGCTGTGTGCTGCTGCTGTGTATGAGTGATTGTTAATCTGTGAGCTACACATATTCTGCTGAGTGCTAAGGCATGCATTTATATCATTTTAATTAGAGGCAGAAGAAACTGTAAATTTATGTTACTGGTAGAAAATGTATTGCCATTAAATAGACTGGCAGAGGGTAAAGGTGTTGATGTTTGTGCCTATCCCCCAGTGATTGTTGCTGCAGGGGTTTTTCTCATTGGGTTACACCTCCCTTGTACATCAAAAATCCTGTTTGCAGCAATAGTGTAAGAGCACCTTGTGACAACATTCTTCTGTTTTTTGTGAATCGCTGGCCTTAGTTCATTTAGCAGTTAAATTATTAATCTCCTTTTTATTGTTTTTCACAACTGATGTTACATGTTGTTCCTTTATTTTCCAGCGTCCTGATATTAGCCAACAGATAAGTAGCATTCGATTGGATACAATTGTCACAGTAAAAGGGTTGGTGTGTGCTCGACCACCAGGACAAAAGAACGTGGTATGTTGATCCAGCAACATGTAATGAATCTTATTATTCAGAATGGGATGATCCCCTATTTCATGAAACCATTAGTTTTGTAAACTTTAGGATTTAAAAAAATACATGATATATGTTCTTCAAAAAGCAGTGTGTGTATGTCTGAACACAGACTCTTGAACAAGGGAACAGAGAAACATGGGAGTTTTAAAGAACAGATACTTTCATGAGAGTGAAAAGTATGGATAAATCAGTACTGTAGGACGAGTTCTTGTTTGTGAATTGAAATTGGGTTTGTTAATTTTTAAAAATATTTTATGTAAGTGTATACAATAATTCAAGCCAATCAGCACTGGCCTAGCAATGTAGGGTTTAGACAAGTATAGGACATGTAAGATTCGAGGTTTTCACAGCGGTGAGTATGAAGATTTCTGTCTTCTGGGTTGTTGCGCTGTGTAGTCTGGTCGATGTTTACCAACGTTTCAGACGTCATACTGCCTCCGTCAAGAGGGCGATGAATATTCATCACGTTGGTAAACATCGACCAGACTACACAGCACAACAACCCAGAAGACAGAAATCTTCAAGTATAGGACAGTTAACATGTGCTTACAGAGAATGCCGACTGGAGCTATTGAGGTATCAGTAACAGAATTGGAAGTTGTGGATCCCAATGAGAAGATCGAACCTGCACTGCCTGAACCAACCACCAATATATCTATGCAGATACGCAGCTTTTCTACATCCAGTAATATTTTTTCTGAGGAAACGAAACCAACAAGTATGTTGCACTAAAAAGTAATAATATCTCCACCCTCAGTTTTTAATCAATGCTAATGTGGACTCTGTTTCTTGGTGATGGTACTGAAAAGGTGAAAGGTTTAGGTTGTATTCCATTGTGTCCAAGATACTTACTGCCACCATTGGCAAGGTGAAGTGGCTATCCAGTTGCCTCTGACAGTACTTATAACGTAGGTCTATATGTCACTGGTAATTGCTCTGCTTGATACTCTTTTAATATGCACACAATAAGGACCTCTGAAATGTTTGTGATACAGCCTACATCCACATGATGCCATCATCTAGAAACAGATCTGTATCAGCAGTGAAGTGCTTGATATCTAATATAATCATTGTCAACCCTTTAAACCAGACTTATATAAAAATTATCATTGTTCTGCATTTGTTCTCGTAAAATCAAAGTAACTGTAGCATGAGACGTTGAAATGTTATAGTTTTTATTGGAAATGTTTGTACATTCATGAATGCTCACACAGGAGCTATAAAGGATCTTTTATTATTTTCAAACTAACTGGTTGATGGAATTCAATATGGTACTCCCTAGTACATCACAAGGACTAGAAACATGCAGTATATTTGACATTTTAAATCAATTCAGTGACAAATACATGTATATTTGTGACAGTGGAAGGGCAACACTTTGAGTCAGTCATATTGGCTTGGTGTACTGTTAATGTAGAGTGTACCAGTCCCTCATTATCATTTTCACAAACTTTCAGCATGTGCCTTATATCTGATTGTGCTTTTGCTGCCTGAGTTTGTTCTCTTTTCAAGAAGTGGCTCCTGACACCAGTAAATTCACACACCGCACCCATACTTGTGGAGAGCTACGAGACTGTCACATTGGACTGAAAGTAAGATTATGTGGGTGGATAGAATATCAGCGCATGGCAAAGTTTGTCACCTTGCGTGATGCTTATGGCTCCACACAACTTGTTGCACCTGTTGAAGTAAGTTGGGATGCTATTTGTGTTTTCTTGCTAAATGATAAATCATGGTGAAACAAATCATTGCATTTGTGTAAATCTATGCACACATCTTATTAAAGTTGTTATCCATTCTTATATGCATGTATGAACACACAGGTCCATTAGCAACTTCTTGCTGTATTTGCATTTTGTATATTTAAATTCCATGGATTTAAAAATTCTTAACATAACTCCTCACTACTTTTGAATCCTATAGCTTCATTCATTTTAAAGATCATTTTCTTAGCAGAGGGAAATTCTTACCTTTTGTAAAAAGCAAGAAATTTATGTTGCATAATATTTTTTTTGTCAAAATCAACTGGCATCACATTTTTTATTTTTGCTGTAAATTGATACACTCTCATGTTTTTATTTAAAATTTTCCTTTGTGAGCAATGTGTTTTAACAGTCCTCAATCCAACACTGCAAGCATCAGCTGGCATTCTTGAATCTTGGCAACACCATCTGTCTGTTTCCTGCTGGAAATAGCTGAACGCCTTAAAAACTGCATCCTTGACTTCTTTATGTGAGACCAGGTAGTTGCTTGGCTGGGCTTCCATTTTAAAAATTACAATAAAATGTAATTAAAACCAACATTCCACAAACTGCTTCAAAGAAACACTATAATTTAATGAATAAAATTCCACATTGCCAGAAAGAAAGTTTCAGGAGCTGTTCCTTATTTTTGCTGACTCTTGCTGATTTAGAGTAAGCTTGTTAGAATTCTTTGCTACTTCCACTACACATCCAAGGTTACTCTTCAAGTTATTTGTATGCCAGTATAGTGATGTAGATAATGATTTATTTATTTATTTGTCTCCAATTAGAGCATGTATATCATTTAAATGTTATGAGTTTTAGTAATGAATTTGAATAGTTTTTTTAATATAAAAATGTGAGACTGCTAAGAAACCTTAAGATTTAAAGGGTTTGCTGCTAGTGCATGTCATGAAACTAATTACTTATCATTCTGTATTTCAGAGAAAAGACATTGTTCAGCTGCTGGATGGTATTCCTTTTGAATCAGTAGTTACTGTGAGTGGCATTGTGTGTGGTAGACCACCAGCACAAGAGAATGTGGTATGTTGAAATTATGTTGTATGAAAAAGAGTAATGCTTTTCATAGCAGATGCGACAGGAACTTAAGGGCATGATTATATTTTAAAAATAAAATTAATTTAAATAGGAGATCAAAGTGAAAAGAAATTCCAGAGTGAATTTTTAGTGATGTCTTTTAAGTTCCTCCCATCTCATCAATGGATTTAACACATAATATTGCTTAACCAAAGTACATTATTACATTACACATATGAAGTATTTGCCACTTGTAGTACAGACTAATATCCAAAATTAAGTGGAGTGTGCACTGTCTTGATTCTTTTGTTATGGGCCTAGTAGGTTTAATTTCTATTTCTAAAGTTCTGCTTATAAATCACATATATATCCTTGACCACCAGAAAGTTTTTGGATTGTTGCTATTTGATTCAGTATGTTCACATTTTCCCTAATTTAATTACATGAAGCACACCAAACACTGGACTTATTCCTTGCTTAAAATAAACTTATACATTTTTCTGAGAGTTGTTTGGAAGCCTTTCAATACCTAGTATGCTTCTAACTGGTCCAGTCTTGGTAAATGAAGTAGGTTATCCATTCCAAATTACATTGCAGTATGTATAAATATGCTTTTCTTTTTCCAGAACATGCCTACTGGAAGTATAGAAGTTGTCTTAAATGACTTTATGATCATCAGCACTGCAAAAAAGCAACTGCCATTTACTATTCGGGACTTTAACAAGGTTAGTGCACTCATCAGTGAGTATCTGACAACTTTATTAAGCAAAGCAAGAAAACAATTAGGTGTCTCTACATGTTGCTTATGGTGAGATCAGACTTCCAGATAATTAAAATCATCTTTACAGGCTAAAGAGCCATTGAGGCTAAAGTATCGCTACCTAGACCTTCGTTTCCCAGAGATGCAACATAATCTTCGTCTTCGTTCCAAAGTCCTGATGAGTATGAGAGAATACCTGTGCAATCACTGTGACTTTGTGGAAGTGGAAACACCAACACTCTTCAGAAGAACTCCTGGGGTAAACAGTGTGTTTTTAGATATGTGTACTGTTGTTGTTCTTTCTGCCCAATAGCATTTATAAGTACTCATCATTGAAAGCCATGTTTTTGTATCTTTGCTTCTTTCAACTCCAGAGTCCTGTTTAGATTTTTTTGTATTATTTTTGTTGTAGAAGTTTAGTAATATTATAACCATAATTGAATGGCTAAATTAATATCCATGTTTATTTCAGATAAGTATTTATGTGCTAATATCTTGAGCAGATGAAAGACAGCAGCAGTGGTGTTCATTTGTTCAAAATTAAGAGAAATTGCGTTAATGAGCCATTTCAGACTAGGTATTTCTTTACTAAACTTTTGGAAAGTAAAATGAATATTTTTATAAAAGATAATGCAAATGTAGTACACTGAGTCTTTAAATTTTTATTCTTTTTGCTAAACTGATAGATTTCCTTATAATATCCTATACCTGTATAAGTCCCAAAATGTTCCATCCTTGTTGTACAGTAGGGCACCGCTTATACGGCAGGGTAGGGACCAGACACCCGCCGAAACGCGGATCTTTGCCTTTTTCCATTTGCAAATGCATATCAAAGCCTAATAAGATGTT